GAGAAAATTACCTTTCCAAAAAAAAAAAAAACAACCCAAAAAACAAAACAAAACAAAATCAAACTTTCTATTAAGAATTTGCTTTGTCTAGCCTGGAGAATCATAGGTTAAAAGGTTTTTTGGCAGTTCTCTAAATATATATAATTATATTCTCTCCTTGAGAAATAAACATCAGCTTTAATTTAAAAAAAAAGAAAAAAATCAAATTAGTATAAAGTAATCACAGATAAATGCAGGCAAGAAATTACAGGGAGGTTTGCAGCCACTGAAGTCCTATAATCGCTTCTCACAAACAGCGGGTCTTGGAGACCAGAACGCGGAACCATGTCAGAGTAAAGCAGCAACACACTGACAGGACAGGGCGAACCTGGGGCTCGAAACGTAAGCTCACCATAAAGAGGCTGCAAGTGTCTGACTTGTTGATATCCCCTTGGGGCACCCAAAAGTAGAGGCTGGATCAGCATGTATTTGATATACTCTAGACCACTATTTAATAAATTAGCTCCACGCTTCAGCCGGAGGGAACCAGGAGAGCTGCTTCCATCCCCCCAGGCTTTTTCCCCCTGCAGCAGAGCGCGCCGCGGGGACACGCTGCAGGCCTGGAAAGCGCTGAGCCACGTGCTCGCTACTCCTTGCCCACGAGCTCAGGATCACGCACAGAAAGAGGGATCTTGGACCTCCCGGGGCAGTGAGCACTGCTCACTTTCATCTAACAAATTCCCTGTGATGGCAAAGGCCCAAAACACTGGTGAAACCTTTGCTTTCCTCTCTCTCTCTCTCTCCCTGTGACACACTGCGGACCCCAAGTTTACTCTAGTGCAATAAGGGTATTCTGTGGCTTGTGGTATACCAGAAGTGACACGTGTACCCTCAAAGCATGGATGTTAAATTGGGGGTGATAACACCGGTGATTTTAGGACAGAAGATCTATTTCAACACAGGCTCACAAGGACAAAGTCTACCAGCTCCCAAAGCTCTGAGCAAGCTCTGTCTCCGAAAACTTCGTCACTTCCAAATTCTACATTTAGGATAGTCTACTCTCCATGATTTATGCCTATGACATCAACTTATACCTCATTACATCAACTTATCAGTAACCTTGTTACGTTAACTTCTACACATCACACATATAATACACTGAAAAACTAAGAGAGCCAACAAAATATTAGAGAAATACAATTGTGAATCTCTCAGTCTGCTTAAGCTACTTCAAACCATAAACATCCTCAAGAAACTGGATATTGTTGCAAAGAGGCAACCAGAACATTTTGCAAAATAACAGGCTCACATGTCATACGCATGCCAAACATTTTATCACTTCTGTTTGCCCACTCACCCCACCTCTTCAAATTTTGCACTATAAGTATTTCTATAACCTGTAAACTAAACACTTCCACAGCACAGACAAACAACAGCAATTTCCAGGTTACTTTCCACTTAAATAGCAAAGTCTACCTTCCCCTTGGCTACAGTACTAGAAATGCCACTTCATGATGTCCACCTGCTGATATTCAAGAGATATTCTACCCTATAATGTCCTATAAGGGCTAGAAAGCGCTTTGTATTATGCATCCATCACTTATCTCAAGTTCTGCTTTAAGTAGACACAACTAGGCACAGCTTTATTAGCTTTATAGCCTGGTTTATTATGGAAATAATAAACCTCCACAGAATTGTGCTACCCATCTGCCTTTTTCAGTTTTGAACCCTTTGTTCAACTCCAACCAACCTTAACAAGTGGAGGAAGGGGTGACTTTGGTCTTAAGGAAACAAAATTCCTACTAACTGGGCAAGAATCAAAAGCTGGGCAAGGCACACAGACCCAAATTAATATCCAGTGAGGGAAAGGATGCAATATTAGTTCAGTAGTTAGTTATCTGGTCTGTTTGGACTGCTGACTGGCCAAGCTGCAGAGCTGCAGTTTGGAGCCAGCCACAGCACTTGATTTGGGGAATAGGATGCAGGAACTGAGAATGGGAGGCAGTAACCACGGGCATAACAGAGAGAGAGCAGAAGACTACAGAGATAAAGCTTCAGACAGCCTGTGTGGAGAGGAATAACTTCTTTACACTTTCCTATACTGCAGCTATAAAACAACACGTTCATTGCATACAACAACAAACCAAACGAAAACAGGCTAACCAGATCATAGGCCTACAATACACTCATCTTTCTCCTCTTCCTGCAGCTATCCAAAAAGCCATGACTGTATCACGTCAACTTCAGAGATTGAGATTCACCTACACTTTGCATCAGAAAAATGCACACAAACACACACAGATCCCATTGTTTTTTAATAGTGTTTCCTGAGACCAGTGCCTTAGGCTATCAGATATGATAATATACAGCTCTTCTCCTCCTGCTAAAAGCCCGTGGCCTTACAAGGAAATAGCATGTTTTATTCAATTAAAAATGTCCCAACCAACTCAGCTTTCTACCTCCTTTTCTTTCCATTTCCCCTTACAGAAATTAGGCAAAAAAGGAACTCAATGGAATTCACGTTTCAAAAGCAAGATAGACAAGGCAAGATAATTTTTCTGCAGTGTACACAAACAACAACAAAAAGACTTGCCTGATTCCTCATAAAACCTCAGTCTCAATGACTGATACCTTTTTACCTCTGTTATCTTTGTATAACAAGGTGAATAAATGAGGACGTTGCACCTCCCTTGGTTAAGCCAAATTTTTTCAGAATTGCACACGCCTAATGTTTAAAAGCTTTTCTTGGAAGTCTCAAAATATGTAACGTCACTGATGTTACTAACTAACAGATATCTTCAAGTTTGCCCAAATAAGATGCCTGTACACGCTCTACCTCTTACTTGAGCCTGGTAAATTGTTTCTCCCCTGGAAATCCAGTCATCATCCCAAATGATTTTCAACTACCAGGCATAAAGCAGTAATTACACCCTCTCACTTTTTGATACACCAAGGGAAACGCACCCACCCACTGACTGGAAAAGATGCGCTACAGAAACGTTACTGCCACTGCAAACGGCACCCCAGGAAGCTCCCTAAGCGCGTCTGTGCGCGCTACTGGGAACAATACTGCAAAGTGCCTGATGCACGGTAAGTACATGAAATTACAACTTAGAGTCAGAAATGGAGAAATACACAGAAACAAGACAGTTTTTTAGCTCCAGCTAAGGAGCATGATTACATCTTTAACCACAGAATGCCTCAAAAAGGAAAGTACCAATTCCCTAACGGGAGCAAAGAGCAAAGAGAGAGGAGGAACCAAAACTACAAACTTCTAAAGCTGGTTCTGAGCGGAGACCAAGAACTTTAATTAAATTTCCTGGTTAGGAGAGAAAGCTTTAAAGTTCCCAAACAAGCACCTTTCTATCCTCTCATCAGATGGAGTTTTCTTGTTGAACTGTACTTCACCTGGTGCACCACGTATGTGATCATTTGGCAAAACGGTTAGAGGCCGTTCTTCCTTCTCCAGCCCCTACGCTCCGTGATGCTACTGTGCCTGACCAGAGCCTGTGCTCTGGCTCCCCCCACTGACTGCTTTACAAAAACACTTCCCAAAAGGCTGCAGGGTCCCTCAACAGCTGAAAAAGAAACAAAGTTTCAAAATTACTTAGGCAAAGTGGCCCAGAAATTCCATCCAGCCACCTAATAAACTTCCAAAAAAAGCCTAATGCAATTTGGGAAAAGTACATCGGAAACATTTGTTTAAAAGTAGGTTAAAAAAAAAAAGTTATCTTGGGCAACGTACAAGCTGTTACCAGGAAAAAAAAAAAAAAAAGAAAAAAAAAGAGGCAAACTGAACTGTGCATATTAAATCCCTGCCAGAAATTGCAGTGTGATGCTTTCGAACCATCGTGGCTCCTACAAAGGAAAAGGTGACTTGAATATTCTATAACAATAAAATAGGAGGAACAAAAGAGTTAGTTATGTATTTCTTTTTTTTAATACTAGTGACAAACATCCCTACAAAAAGGCTAATAAGAAAACTAAGTAGCCACGGTTCAGAAATATAGTGCTATAACATATTAAAAATTAGTCGAGATAAAAAAATGCTTCCTTAGCATTCCTTAGCATATTCCTTGATTACCAGCACCAGCAAGAAGCGAAAATATTAGGATAGCTCACTGTTTATCCAAAATCTGCCTTTTGGCAAATCTAAAACAAATGCAAAACAGAGGGGAAAAAAATATTTTGGTTAACCAAACCAAGAGGAATTTCTTTATGAAATGGCTGAAGCGAACACCACGACAACTGAGTAAATTCTACATCGACAATTCTCAGGAAACGCACATTCGAAGGAATAGATCCAAAAACTTAAAAATACAGGCAATTCACATCACAGAGACTCTAGTTCTGTTATTTATTACAGATTCAAGTTCAAGACTCCAAAAAAGACTGCAAAGAGAAATTCAGAAAGACAGAGACTGTTTCAAGCCAGAGCCAGAGACAAACATGACAGGTGTTACGAAATAAATCATTTCTAAAGCATTTCTAAAGCCTTACATAATAAGCATAGCTCAAAATACAGAGTGATCAAACAATTAGCGCATTCCAGAACTAATTAAAGGAAATAACTTTCATATGCACCACACTGTACACAGGAGTAACATCCACAGCTACATCAGAACAAAGAGAACAGACTAAGGATGTAAATCCTTCTGCGGCAAGAGAGACACCAAATACTGACTGGCAAGTTTAGGAATAAAACACTGGCCACCAGGAGGTCACCTCATCCACTGTCAGAAGGAGGATACCGGATCAGACTCGTACCCGGTTGGATTTTGCATAGCAATTTCTAACCTGCTCCAACACTACTATTACCAAACTCCCTAACGCTCTGTGGCCAAATAGAGAGGTTTAACCCTCTCAGACCTTTAAACACACCAACCAGATCATCTGCTACTTCATTTCCTCTGTAAACTCTACTGTGCTTTTCAGACCTTAGAGAAAAATGCATACATTGGCCATATTCAACTTTGTAATTTTAAAATATCGATTTAATATAAGGTAAAGAGATATTTCACCTGCATTTCATAAGAGGCTGGGTTACCCATTTCTTCAGTCTCCGACGTCCGAAGGAAGTTTTAGTATGATCCAAGACCCAGAGTAGGCTTCCTTTTGTTTTCATATCAGTCTAAAACAACAAAAATAGCCTTGCTATTTTTAACTGAACAATCAATCACCTACCTGCAGGATCTTCACAATACTACTTAAAGCATTCTGTCTAGGCTTTAAGATTTCGCAACTACAACATGTTCCTCTACTCATCTTTTTTCACAAATAATTCCTTATATAACTGCCAAAGATACCTTATAAGATACTCGAGTATGTTTTCACTCTAGCCAGAAAATGTTTTCAGAAAACAGCTAGAATAAGTTCTACAAGTTAAACTAAATCTATGCATAAACCAGCATCACAGAAGAAAAACAAACCCCACTGCAGACAGATCACTTGACTGTAGTTGCTCAAGAACTTGCAAATTTTAGGAAAGCTCTTTGCTAGTCAAAGTGTAGTAAGGTTCCTAATTCATACCAAAAGCCAGTAGAGATTAACTGTCATTTATGCATCTGAAAGAGTACTCCTCCTCCAGTTTGATCCCATCTAAAATAATTTAAACGTTCTGTGTTAGATTTTCAAGCTAACTTAATTAACTTCATTGAGAACAATATGTCAAACAGCTCTGAAAATATAAGTATTTATTAAGAAATCACTACACTTGTCCTTACCTGATTCTGTAAAATTTCAAGATTTTTCATTGTTGTCGCATTAATTGTCATGTATTCAGTTTCACTTGACATCCGTTTGAAATTGCTGGGTGGGGGGAGAATTTTGGATGTTAGATTTTAAATATGGGAACAGACATAACAGTGAAACACTATCAAGTCTCTCACATTAGCAAATTCATCAACCATATGAACCAAAAAGAGAACAAGTAAGAAATTAGAATCTATTCAAATAAATAAAACAATTGAACCCCATTAACATCTGTTATTTTACTGTTTGGGAATATAAGACTTGAAGAATCACTTGCCCAACTTCTTACAGTGACTCTGACAAAGTTCAGAATAAAATCTAGCTCTCCTGTCATCTACTCCTAACCCACTAAACGCTTAAGGAGGCGTCCCTTCTTCAGTCTGTGAAAAAATTACAGTAGTACACACTTTTGTTAGTGCTCTGTTATGGTCACTGTACTTACAGTATTAGAAGCAGGGCTAGGATTAAGAATTTACACTTAGAGTAGAGCATTTTTTAAATATAACTCATCAGATCATCATATCAAAATACATATTCATCTATTTTGCAACTAATAGCAATTTAAAGTCTGCTAGTATAATTATTGAGGAAAATAAAAATAGAGCATATTTAAACTACTTCCTCTTATTTTTCACCATGACCTAACCATGACCAAAATGACTTGACTTTTTGACGCTACCTAGCCAAACAGGAAAAGACTAGCCCAACAAAAGTTGTGATTTCTACATATAGCTAGAGCAAAACACAGAATAAGATGAAGCTTAATAAATTAATGGTATTAGATGTGAAAATTATCTCAATCTCAGACATGCACATGCGGTAGTTGGAACAGGAAAGGGAAGTGCAAGATACTCACTAAATGATTCTGACAAATCAAGTCATGATTGTCTAGATTAATTACATACTGCTCACTGCTCTTTGCACAAAATCTAGGGCGCACCTTCTTTAGTTATCTTAGCCTGAAAAGAATGACTTGTTGGGTAGGATTTAAAACTGTTTTCTTGACTTTTCAAAGAGAAAAAAAAAAAAAAATCAAGGCACTGGAAGCACAGTGCACTGTGAAGCACACACAGCTGCACTATTACTATATATTTAAAAAGCAGCACCAAAACTTGCAAAATTATGAAATATGCAGAGACTAATGTTATACGTTCATGTTGCATGCACCTGTTTAGACCTGCTAGTAATCCTGTTTCTGAATAACGGGTCAAATTTTCTGCAGAAATTAAAGACTAAAGTAGGTTCAACTGAGTGCCCTCAAGAAAGTACGTTTGAAAGTGCAGCTGATTCACAACAGTACCCATAGACAGCATTATTCTGCTCTAGCGTGCCATCTCAACAATCAGCAAAGTTGACCTGCAAAACAAAACCTTAGCGGTAAAAGCAGCAGCACTTTCCAAGTGCACAATACTATGAGCAACAAAACAATATTCTCTTTTTATTATCTCCAGTCCCAGTTGCTGGTACTGGCAAAAATTAAATAGGAATGATCTCTGCTTGGCTCTGAATCCCTATAACCAACACTGAATCCTACCCGCCCTTCCATAGCACCTCTTTAACCTTTAGGATTTACGTAACCCAGAGTTTCCTCAGTTGCTGCATTTTGATTTGCCACTTGATTTGCCTTCTGTCATCTCTTAAACTCAGCTGGGTGAGAACTATGTCTGTTTTACTTCTTCCCAAAAGCATAAAAGATGCTTTTGGCTGTTGCTATCAACTCTCAATTATCCACGAGCAAGTTTCAAGATTATAGATTTACTGTCTGCCCTCTTCACCTGGCTGAGGCCAGGTGCTTCAGAGCACTTAACTCAGAACATACTCTGCTCACAGCAAGCTTCCTCTCTGATGGCATTCGGAGACAACTACTTCTGCTCCACAGCAAAACCTGTTTATTAGTCTTTCAGAAGCAAATATGCTAATGTTCTCACAGCATAAATTATGTATGTTTTATATTATCCAGGTGTTTGCTTTCTCTGGGTTACTCCACCTTGCTATTAACCTTAGTAACTGAGAGCTAAGAGTACACGAATAGCAGCCAAGATCAACTGCAGAATATGTCCAACCAGGAATTCTAGATGTCATAGCACAGAACTTGTTTTGCTTCCCACAGCCTCATCTTCCTACAGCTTGGGTCAGAACTTGATAAAAATGTGAAAGAAAGACTTTTTGTCGGGAATTTAGGGTCTGAAATAGCATGAGAAGAAGCCTCAAAACAAGTTAGCGTTGGCTTTGCAGCAAGGATATCAACAAAATTTCTTGCAAGAAATTCTAATGTGCTGCTATCAGACATCCTCTGCATTAGTGAAAATGACCCTTCAAAGGCACTTCGTCCAGAGCACAAGGCAATAATTCCTTTTATAGATAACAAAGGTGTGGCCTGAGCTACCAAGAACAGACTTACAACTCTCTCAAGTACTTAGACAGCACAAAAAAGGAGTGATGGAAATAGCTGGTAATTCCACTGCTGAAGAGTAAATGAAGGTAGGATCCTGCCATCTGGGCTGAGAAAATGAAGAGGAAACAAAAAGAAATGCAAGTTTCTAATAAGATTTAGTAGACATTTGGGAAATATGCATGAGAAAGTGGTTCCTACTCCTAAAATAATTTTTCAGAGTAGAACCATACTTGAAGATGAATATTAAAAGGTTACAATTGCTTTCGGACAGTAAATCACTTCCTCAATCTTTGATTCTTACACATTACCTGCAAAACTCTTTTTGGTCATCCTGCATTTTAAGAGGCTTACAGAGGAGGGCATTAATGCTTTACTCATTATTCTCTCCACCAGAGATTTTATATATAATTTCATACTCACTAACTCATTCTAAATGAATGCAAGTTATTCAGATCAGTTTTCAACTACTTTAATTTTGCAAATTTCTAAAACACTTTCCAGTGAGGCTGCAGGGCACTCTACTGAGAGCCTACTAAGCAGCAGATTTTCTTTGCTCAATTACCTTTTACAGACCTCTAGAGGCCATGTCTTACAGACTTCTAAGGGTGAATGAACCACAGAATAAAGTTACATATTTAGACAAGAGTTGGAGGAATTTACATTTAGTTATAAGGAGTAAAAACATGTCTCCCTTCATTCCTCAGAAGCACTAGCTTTAGGTATGAAAGACATTTACCAGTGTCTTAGTAGTCCAGGCTTGAGGTCCTTTCCTATGTTTTATATTTTGTTAACCAGAATTTTAAATTCATTAGTGAATATAGCCATAAGGCCAGAACTTCTGATCTAGATCCCTGATGTGATGGGAGCCCAGAAACTCCAAGAGAAAAAACAAGAACAAAACAAAGCAAAAGACCTGAAAAAGAAAAAGCAAAACATAGAACAAGTACAGAAATAAGATGACCAGGGAAGGATTAAGAGAGACAAAAATAACTCTCACCATTTTTATCCTGAATTACTTTTCTCCTCTTATGCCACTGACCTCCCCACTTGTTCCAACTAAACTGCGCTCTCTTGGACTGCTTTCCGTGCGTGCAGCCTCAGCACTCCAATAAGCTCCACACTTCTGGAGCACAAGAGGCCCCACCTGTCACCCTTATTCTGTGGTCTTGAATTATTAGGCGAACCCTCTGCTGAGCACCTTTACTTAGGGCCTGAAACCATGCCCTCCCTTTTCTGTCCCCCACGGTCCTGAGCTGACACTGAAACTTCCCAGGATCATTGCAATACTGCCTCTCTCAAAGTCTTACAGAAGGCACATAGTAAGTGTGAGCAAACAGACCTACGTATAGTCTTGTATACATTTTTCTGAACTCATGAGGGCACAAGAGAGATGAAAATCGTATGTACACCATTCTCTCAATCTCTTTCTTGCCTCCATTGAAAATTCAAGGATGTCCACTGCCATTTTAAGTTGGGTGAACTTGCATTTTGACTTCACTAACCTTTAAACTAATCTCTCAAACTCCCTTCCATTCCTACTGTACAGTATAATGAACCCTTTCCTTTCTTGCTGAAGTCTTTCCCCGTTTCTCTTCCTCCCTCAAAGCCATACTAGCCCTCTCCTTCCTCCCCTCTTTCATTTCTGTTTGTCTTCTACCCTCATTGCTGGTAGTTCTCCAACCCCAAAGCTATTCCCCTCTTTGAAAGATAACTGGCTTTTCCACTCCCAGCCATTTCTGAAGTTTATATATCACTGGTCAAACTGTAAGAACTACAGATACGATCTCTCTTTTGTCTCCATATATTGGAAACCACATAGGTAAAATAAAAATACACTGTGAGGCATTTCCCAGCGACTGCTGTGCAACAGATAATTTTCAGGTAAAACTGGGTGCTCAGCTGTCCTTGCAAGTCTATTCTAGATGTGTATCATCTTCTTGTCAAAAATCAAAGGTCTCATTACTTAAGGCTACTAGAATATACACGGATAACAAGTTCTCATTCATCAGAATTCATTAGAAGAGAATTTTTACTTGCTGTGTAAGTAAGCTCAAATGAAATAAAGGGTTTCTGTCCCTGTACATTGAATTCCGCTTTATTTAGGACCTTAAAGCTGGATTTGTTTTAATATTCACATGAAATTTGTTACAAATGAGGCTCTCCCTGATAATGAGGATCCCTCATCACTTGTGCGATGCTTCATGATGATGTTTCTTAATCTCAGCTGGAATTTTGTTCATTTGGGAGAGGGGTTTTTATTTGGGGAAGGTATGCAGGCGGTGTAAGGAAAGTTTTCATCATTCTTCTTAACAAGTAGATCTTTTTCATCCAGATATGTGTCACTTGCATCCATAAAGTTCTCAGCAACTGAAAACTATCTCAACTCCAACTTCATGCTCACTGTATTCATCAGTATATGCTCACTGACCTGAATTCTCCTAGGAATTTTAGGTTGCATGTCAGTACAATGGAAGTGTTTCTCTTACGTTTCCTGCAGAATCACAGAGAATTGTTAAATGTGATACCCTCTGCTTAAAAGGCTTTCCCTTTTCAGGACCTATATAATATTTCATTGACATTAGAAAAAATTATTGAAGTTGCGCTTGGCTCAGTATTTTCACATACGTGACACACAAACAGCAAGCAGAATTCCAGAACCTATTTTATCCAGATAGCCAAAGCAGTAAAGGCTTCAGAAATAAATATAGTAGAACTCAAGTTCCTGAGTGCAGGAGCTAAGTTATCTCAAAGTATATACATCTTATTTCTTTATAGCATATCACCAAGATAACAAAAAGTTCATTGCTTTTCCACTTGGATGCTCTTCTTGCTCACACTCACACCAAGTCTATTAGAGCAATTTCCAGCAGGCAAATGTCAGCTATAAGATTTAGTGCTTTTCCTTCCCATCTGTAATTGTACTTGATTTTAGGCTGCACCTATTAAAAGTGTCAGCTGTTACATAAGCCCTCATGTAATCACGTTGCTCCTCTGCTACTGGATTACTTCTACATGAAACATTAATTTTCTATTTTCTCCCTAACTGAAAGAGCATTCATCTTCTTAATGTGTGACTGCACATAAGATACTGTGGCAACAGTGATCTACAAGTGCAACGATGGAAGGGATTTTGTTTTGGAGTTCATTTTCTTCTTCAGAAGCTCTCACAACAAGACTTCTCCAGACACAGCTCCCACCTCTCCACCCAAGCATTTCCTATAAAACTTGCAAGAGGATGAGCTGGAAGACCACAGTGCTGGAAGATCACAGATTAGAGTGCTCCTTGAGAGATGGCGGAGGGGGAGATTTAAAAGATGCTACCTGATTTTTTTTTCCTCTTAAAGGACCTATATGCCCAGTGAAGTTTAAGTTAACATTTTAACGATATTTGGAGTGTGAGGGGGAAAAAAAGAGGGGGTGGGAGGGGTGGGGAGAGAAAAGCCATCCAAAAATCCAGAAAACCCAGGCGTGTATGTCATAATTTCCAAATATTCCAGCAGATATCTGAAAAGCATTTAAGGCTGACACCTGCAGTCACTTTTTAAACACAGTCACATTTAGAAAAACCTCTTTTAACATAGAGGCCCTTCAAAATGAGGCCAAAAACTGTAAGAATCTCTTTTAACATATGATTTATCTACAATCAACGCTAAATATTTGTAGGTTTCTAACTTGCAGCCAGGCTTACTTTGTTAAAGCCTTCCTGCCTACAAGACAGAGGAATATCGAGACAGTCAAGAGAATATTTTGCACAGGACCTGTGACAAATAAAGCTGATTTTAATAAAGCATGTAACAAACCCAAATGGTATGTTTAAACCTATGCCAAGTAGGATAATAATCCTTTAAAATTGTGCAGAATGGAATAAAAAAAAGTTTTAGTGGTTTTATCTTTCCATTTTCTTTTGAATATGTCTGCATAATCCTGTTACGAATTTTTAGTACCCATCTGCACATATCTAATAACTGAGAGTACAGATTACTTCAGGGAAGACAAGTTTTTTCCATGGCTATGTGTTTTTCAAGTAACCTTAAACAAGTAGTGAAGGCCTTTCCACAGTCTTTTGAATTGATCGTTCCCCCAACCATAGGTACCACTGAACCAGCTCAAGGAATTGTTCTAAGGGCTCGATGCTGCACAGATCTGTTTTCTTTTTAATTGGTAACTTGACTCACTGACTCAAACAGACCTGCTGAGTACTGTCAAAACATTACAACACATTAGCATTTACACATGCTTCCAGAGCTAAAGGAAATGATTAACACACCCTCTGCGGCAAAATAAAACATCTGCAACGCTAAATTACAGCATTAAAAAGTCTTTAAAAAGCAACTGCCCCAAATTTTGATCACAAAATAAAACAAGCTGAGGTTAAGATACGACGACTAGGATTTATTAGCAAACTTTAAAAAAAAATAAAAAAGTCTTCCTAAAATCTCTAAGTTTTTGCATTTTGTTTTTAATAACCCTTGGCAGTAGTGCAAGTTCATTTATATTACTGACAGTAATGACTAGAAGAATAAACATTCTAGAGATTTTCACTAAACACCACTGTAAGAAGCACTTGATTCTTTTGGTTCCCATTGTGAGCTTAAATGTAAAGTACTATTTTTATTTTATTTTATTTTATTTTTTTTTACAAAGGCTATGTGTATCACTCAAGCAGGTAGGCTTTGCCCATTTAACTGGGGGGAAGCCATCTGCTGGAATTTACAAGATGTCACTGGTATGTTATTGGTGTTTTGCATTTGAGATTTATATAAGACAACTTACCTTGGATTGTAAAGCATCTTTTCCAAATTAAATTCTTTGAGGTATGCAATCACTGCTGCCAGAGAGCAAATAACAGGCTTATCCAAGCTTAGTATTATAGATAGTTTTTGAGAACCTTAAAACAAACAAACAAAAAAAAAGGTATTTTCTTTTTAAATCACTGTTTACTACTTCTACACTTTAGAAACAACATAATCTATTTTTCAATTTAATCAAATAGAAATCAGATCTATATTACATGTATAATCAAACAGAAATTAGATCTATATTATGCATAGAGTGTTCTGCTAACATTTATAAATTAACAAAAAGTGAGCTTCCAAACCAACATTTATAGATCATTACAATAATGCAGACACATTATGAAACATAAAAAAATTGTACTCCACAGGCTTTTCTTCACAAAAGTAACTGATTTTTGCCATAAGTAATTTCTAAACATACAAACTAACTGGATTCCAAAAATCTCCATTATTGCTGGCAACATCTAGGCCAATTAAGAACAAAAAACAGGCCCCGGCACATGTACTGATGATTTAGCTGCTTCAGTCAGACTGCAGAATATCATCCCATCTTTATAAGACAGCTGTTTAGATTTGACAGTATTTCTCTTCACTACCCTAATGCAGTCCCTGTATCAGCTGCAACAACAGGAAAATTCACTCCATGGTAACTCAACATAAAAGGGTGGATTTTTTTTAAAAAGTTTTGTCAAACCTTATTGCAAAAAATAAAAACTAGTCCCCCAAACAAAACAAACTGGGCCAAATATAGAAACACTTTTTAAAGTTGTTCTATTCTTAGAGTGTTAACACATATAGGAACTTGAAGAAACATTTCAGATGTTGCATAATTTCCCTCATTTGCTATACAAAGTGTGAATTTGAATTTGTCTAAATACACACCTTCAAGACGTTGGAAAATAAAGGGATGCTAGCCTTGTATTCATTTCTTTTTAAGCAATATTGATTTTCAAGGATCAGCTCCTCCAAACTCAAAAATGGTCCATCCCAACATACAGAAAATTAGGCAAAGGTGGCAGGAGGCCTGCATGGATGAACAAGGAGCTCCTGACTAAAGTCAAACACAAAAAAGTATTCAAGAGCTGGAAGCAAGGACAGGTGACTCAGGAAGAATTCAGAGACACTGTCCAAGTGCGCAGGGAGAGGGTTAGGAAAACTAAAATTCACCTGGAGTTGAACCTGGCAAGAGACGTAAAGAGCAACAAGAAGGGCTTCTACAGGTGTATGAGCAGTGAAAGACACACAAGGGAAAATGCACGCCTGCTGATGAACGGGGTGAGCTGGTGACAAAAGACATTGAGCACCTCTGCCTTTTCCATGTCTTCTTCAATGCAATCTTTACCATTAAGATTTGCCTTCAGCAATCCCAGGCTCCTAAGACCAGTGGGAAAGTCTGGAGCAAGGAATGCTCCTCCTCAAAAGAGGAGGATCAAGTTCGGGAACAGGTAAACAATTTAGACACCCACAAGTTCATAGGACCTGATGGGATGCACCAGCGCGTGCTGAGGGAGCTGGCTGATGTCATTGCCAGGCCGCTCTCAATGGTCTTTGAAAGGTCACGGCAACAGAGGGAGGTTCCTGAGTACTGGAAGAAAAAAAATGTCACCTCTGTTTTCAAGGAGAGCAAGGAGAAGAATTTGAGGAACTACAGATCAGTTAGCCTTACCTCAATCCCTAGGATGGTGACAGAGTAATAACCCTGGAAATCATTTCTAGGCTCGCAAAGGACAAAAAGGTAACTAAGAACAATCAGCATGGATTTACAAAGGGGAAACCAAGCCTGACCAACCTGAAAGCCTTCTACAGAGAAATGATTAGCACGATGGACGAGCAGAGAGCAGTGGATGCTGTTTATCTTGACTTTAGCAAGGCTTCTGACACTGTCTTCCATAATATCCTCATAGGCAAGCTCAGGAAGTGCAGGCTAGATAAGTGGACAGTGAGGTGGACTGAAAATCTGCTGAACTGCTGGGGTCACAGGGGTGTGATCAGTGGTACAAAGTCCAGCTGGAGGCCAGTCACTACTGCTGTCCCACAGGGGTGGAAACTGTGGCCATTCCTGGTTAACCTTTTCATTTACGACCTGGATGATGGGATAGAGCGCACTCTCAGCGAGTTTGCAGATGGTACAAAGTTGGGAGGAGTGGTTGATACACCTGATGGCTGTGCTCCCGTTCAGAGGAACCTCAACGGGTTGGAAGGAATCTCATGAAGTTCAACATAAGGAAAATGCAAAGTCCTGCACCTGGGAAGGGATAACCCCAGGCACCAATTCTGGCTAGGGGTCGTCCAGTTCCTTGCAGAAAAGGACCTTGGGGTCCTAGCGGACACCACGTTGAACATGAGCCACAACCCAATATTTACGCAAGATCAAACAATTTAATTAACTGTAAAGAAATATGTACAAAATGACCTGTTTCTTATCTATGTAAAAGCTAACTGGATGCATATTTCAAAGATATTCTGAATGACATACCTGTAATCTCAGGCACTTCCCTTGCATAAAAATCAGTAATCAGCTGAAAAGCATGGCTGTATTCAAAATGGAGGTTTTCCATCCTTTCAATTCTAACTCTGTCATCTCGTAACCTGCAAAGAAAAAAATTGATTGGCCTTTAATACTTATGCTCCTTTCCTGAAGGATACTTAGATAATGCTAAAGGTGGACTTTCTTTTCTCTTTACATTGTTAAGAAGAGAACGCGTAAAGAATGAAGAGATTAGCTACGGGGTTAGGCTGAGAATTTTTTTTTAAACCCTTCTTCTTTCCACTGCAGCAACAAAAAACCAAACAGAAAACCAAACAGCAAGAGCAAACAAGCTTGAAAAGCACCTCAAGAGGTTGTGTAGAACACCTGCAAGATAGATGCAAGTATATTTACATATTTATATCAATCCTGATAAATATTTGCTTTATCTGTTCTTAAATTACTATGATGGTGGTTAAGCAATCTGCCTAGGTAATCTACTACCACATTTAATTATCCTTTATCTTTAAAGGGTTTTTCTCCTGCTGTACAACTTGTTGCAACTATAACCTATTTCGTCTTTTCCTATCTACAGCAGAAGGAAAGTAGTTGTCTCCTTTTCCTTTATTTCTTAAGTATTTGAAGTGTCTTCCACTCCCTGTGCTAGAGGGCTCAGTTTCTTTTAACATTTGCAGAGAGATTCTAGGCCTCTCTGCATTCCCACTGTTGTCCCCTCATTACACTCCATTTATCAGTATCTCTGAACTTTCCAAACCCGGAAACAGAACTCTTGAGTTAGCACAACCCTCAGCAGTAAGTAGAGTGAACACAGTTTTTTCAGACAATACGACATTGAGGACTTCTATCTGGCTTGAAATCTTTTAAACCCACTTTTCTGTGAACGTGCTCCTTTGTATACTGCTTCCTATTTTATATTTGCAAAGTTGATTGTTGCTGCATACATTAAGCATCTTGCAGTTATCCCTACAGAAATTCATTGTGTTTTTGTCATACCACTTTGCCAAGGATGTTTTGAATAATCCTGTCTTTCCAACACACTTGCAGTTCCTCTCAGCCTAACAGCATCAGCAAACATAGCAAACACACTCTGTTCCATTATTAAGCCAAATGAACTCCATTTAATGCATCCTTCCAGTCTGACAGCAAGTAATCAAGAATACGCTGGAACAGGAGTCCACGCGGTTTTGCAGTCCAGTAGAATTTCATCCAGCCTATTTCATGTGGTCCTTGCTACCACAGCCTGCTTAGGCAAGGTGATGGCATCTCACTTGCCTGTGCATGAGATTAACAGTTTTCCTTACATGTTGAGGAATCGACTAGAGCTTTTCTTAATGTTAATACAGTAACACAATGTTCTCTGAATATTAGGCGCAGTGGCTTAACATAGCAGCAGAGAACCACACCACGTTTATTTCCCTAGTCATTTAGGTAGTGAAAAGCCATTTAGTATCTGAGTTCAGGTGGCAACTAGTACATCTGAAACGCCAAAGTCTCACTCAGAGAGGAATGGGAGGGCGTTCATAAGATACAACCATTCCACGCTGGCTGCTTTTCGAAACGGGTCACTGAAATTAAAACTGGATGCCACAACATTAATTCTATTTGTACAGTTGTTCATGCAGCATTATATACTCATGATGGTTTAAAAAAAAATTATGGCAATCTTTCAGCATAAATATATACTTATGGAACGAGTACCAAAGAAGATGCCAGTAGAAAACTGCCAGTAAAAGATATATGTAAAACTTATTTGGCTTCAGAGCGTCCAAGTGCCAATCTCACAGTAGCTTGAGACATAAACTAAGAGAATACTCCTAGAACGTTGGAATTGTGCCAACTGCAGGGATGTTCGCGTGTTACATGAAGGAAACAAATCAATACCCTTTTCACAAGGCTTGGTAACTTCACTACCGGGGGCGGTGGGGAGGGAGAAGCCAAGCAGGTTTTCTGCATTACACTGCACATATTCCAACTGAAAGGATCAATGTGTCTTTGAGGGCCAACTCTTCTAAAAAGGAGAGAGATTTTCTTATAATATATGTCAAACTACCTCAGTCTCACCGCTCTGATTGTTCTCAGCACATTCTAGATGATCCCTTGTTTATCTTGAGTGCCTTAGTTTTAACTGACTGATTCAATTACATTTTCAGCCTGCAGACCCACTGGGATTCGCCTCTGCCCAGCCTTACTCAGAACATACAAACGTTTTTAAGGTAAATGGATTTCTGTGAAAGACAATTAGTCTGTGCTTCTCAACCTGTGACAGCTGTCAGCTATTTTCCTTCTTGCTTCTTTCACGTGCTCCAGCCTTCGCTGATCATCTGCTCAAACACGGCCATCCGTTTTACTAGCAGCGCTCAATTAGCCTGTATAGTTACTACAGCATTTTGCAACATCATCACTTTGGCATTCAAATTTTTGAACTGCGTTGAATGCTATCTGGAGCTCGGCAGAGTACAACCTTTCAGTCAGTCCCGCAAGACAGCGGCTCTTCAGTTTTGACAGTGGGTAAATAGGGACTTAAAGCTGTCTTTTTAAAGCAACATTTTATCTTCAGTTTCTACTTGTACAAGAGGCAGTGTTTTCATTACATCGCCTTCAGAACAGCAAGGCTTAGCAAGCTCTGCAGAGTTAATCTCAAAACTGAAGTCAAAATGGGAGTTTCCAGGGGTAGCTCACTGGATGATCCATGCCCTACCTGCCTTCTTTTAAAGTAACAGTTAATGCTTGCCTTTTCCTTTAATGAACTTGTGGCTTTCTTTCACAAACCTTTAATCAAATTTATCTAGCTCTAGCATAAATTCTGGTAAATGATAGCACCAATTAGCATAGCTTGAGTGATTCCTTATAGTAGTACTTTTGTTCATAAATGATGTTGATGAGAGATACTTCAAGGTAGAATGTAGCATTTAAATGAGACAATAATTGAGTGTTTTGTACAGCACTGTACCATAATTTCTATATTTTAGATCTGGTCATTTTCAAAAAACTATCTGATACTTTGTCTATTCAAAAGTATGCATCAGATGTTCTGGATAAAGATGGAAAAAGTGGAAGGCTATAGGTATCTATATAACCTATGGAAAAATCTGAATTTTTGATCTAAATGTACGAAAGCAAAATTTGCTGCAGAAGGTTTTCATGTCTGCCCTTTATTCAGCCACACGACCACTAATAGGCCATTTTTCTGATTACAGCCAAAACAGTTATGTCGATGCTGTCTCTCTCCAGCTACCAATGCCTATTAAATCAGAAATAAATTCACAATCAACTTTTGTAAACATAACTCTTGCCAGAACAGCTACAGTGAAATGCTGTGCAACCCTTCCAATATTTTTTGGATAATCTTTCAAGTGCTTCTGAAAAGAAGTACTCCTTGTAACCCATGACGCTAACGGGTAAGATAAAACTGAACTTTTCAATAATTTTTTTTAGTCTCCTTGCATAAGCTCTTTTGCTACTACCCTTAACTGGACATTAAGCAAACACAACACACATTCAAGGTTTCAAACTGTTAACTGATGGTAAGAAAAAACCTATAGGGTCCCTTATCAAAATTCCCCTATTCCTTAAACTGCACTAGGATTTGATGCAGATCTGTCTTTGCTCACAAGATGGGTTAAAGAAGTTGCTTGAAGGAAAGTTCATCCACATTAAGAACATGAAATCAACCTGTCCACAAACAGATGCATAATGGATGGGATCCTAACATATACACACACACATACATATTTACACAAACACTTACATGTATATAACATCATACATTAGATGCTTTCCAACCTATACTGCCCTATGATTCTGTTACTACAGGTATTAATTTATCTATCACCATACTGGGAAAATGCAAAAGCATTAAGATCACTGTTTTTTTTGTCCCTCCATTTACCTGACAAGCAATGAATCTTTAGGTAGTTGTTTTGAGTTGTCAAATGTTGTAGGGAGAATATTTAAAATAAATCACTACATTTTGGAAAAAAAAACTATTAAAAGAAAATTAAGTGCTAGAAGCTGTAAGAAAAATTATGATCAACAGCACAAACAAAGCTCACTTAAAGAAACTGAGCCATTTAAAAAATAATAATAATAAAAACATTTACTGTAAGGAAGACACCACATATAAAGACAAGAGCTCACTACCGTGTGCTGAATGAATCTGGAATCACTTCATCGCTGCTCTACAAATCACAAGTAATATTAGCACTTTATGCGTGCTTGTTGAAGACTTCCTCAATAACATAAATGCATCAAAATAGACTTTTCTGTAAAGCTTAGGAGGCCCTCCTAAGAAAAGCTGATTGCTCCAGTCTTTTACTTTTCAGTAACTACTCTGCCCTGTCCTACTCATTCCATCTTAGGACCATTCAAATGCACGGAAGCAGGTGCCACTACTTGATCGCACATCCGTATGTCACAACACAAGTTCATAAGTGATACAGACTCTGGTAAGGGAGATCTCTGCTCCTAAAATTTAGTAAGGAATTTTTATTCCTGATGGCAGGCACAGATTTATAAAGCACAAACAATTGCTATTTAAGTTTTCCCATACTTCAAACTGCTATATTCTCTGCATCTGTCACAAACCACCCTGCTAGGATCATCAGCGTGCCCCTGTGGGGGAAAAACGCCTATGCCGCACATTAAAGCAAGGTAACCGGGATGTGTTAATCCTTTCAGATAACAAAGTACATTGGTGTGACCTTTTCTTATTAAGATGTAGCATGGCTTAGCAGAAATGTAATAGCTTTTTCCTTTGTTTTTCATCATTGCGATTCTTTTATTACATAATTTGCTCCTAGCGCAGGGACCCAAGCTTTGAACTCATTTGTGAGAACTGGAAAACAATCATCCTTCTTTCTTTTTTTTGGTTAATCTTGGTCTAGAATTCCTCTAGCTGCTCTGGCAAAGCCTCAATGACATTTCCAGGCAGCTGTTCTTTTGGCACGGACAATATACGTTTTTAGAAGCATGGCTTTTTCCTCCAGACACAGTAAAGCACTTTCCCACATTTGCTCTCAACAATCTTCAAGGATACCACAGACAGAAACAATATTGTTGCAAAGAGATTGGCAGCAAAGTCACCTTCTCTAAGCAGCTGTCA